AAGATGCATAGCAACTGATTGCTATGTTTTCTCTGCCAACTAGAAAATGTGCAGATCACCTCTTGGTCTAATCATTTTTCATCTTGAGTACAATGCAGTGAATAATGTGTTCTTCTGAAACACTGTTTTGCAAAGCTGGAAAAAAGTGTGAAAAAATGTTGACAATTAAAACTATAAAACTCATAATATAAATATGAATTTGTTAAAAGCTGTTTTAAAAAGAGTGGATCAAATACCAATGTTCTCCCTAAAGTGGGTTTTTCTGTGAATATCCACTCCAACATTATTTGTAAAGACAACATACAGTATCTCTTACAGTTAATAATTTATGGGTACTAAGTGACATATTTACTATACATTTTCGCCTTGTACTGTATGTGCTCCTTTCCTTCAACTGAACTGGGGCAATTATCCATAGCTAAAAACATTAAAAACATTTTTAGATTATAGGTAAATCCAATCCATATTACTCTCTTGAATGATATTCTGTAATACTGGCATGAGTTCATTTTTTAATGAACAAACCATTCAAAAAGTTTTATAGATATTTAAAAAATGCAAATGAAGCTCCCAAATGTGTCATGTACAAATCACATTTTGTTGGGAACATCATTTTACAGTATAGATGCAAACCCCTGCATCTATACTGTAAACTGGTGACTCTGCAGACTGGCAAAGTTGAATAAAAATGTAATTTTATTAATCTATAGAGCTATGCACACTCTGGATAAAAATGATATTTGAAAGGATGGAATTTGTTTTTATAATCAGCTTCAGGAGAAGGCAAAGAATTTCTTGCAATCTGTTCTATGGGTTTATGTAAGGTGCTCTCTTGAATGAAAAGACCAACTGACAAGCTGTTGAGTATTGAAGGACTTACTGTACCATACAGTATTCCAAGGGTCTTTATGAACTGTATGCAGTAAATGGTATAGCTCTGCTTTCCTGCTTTGAAGTTGATGTTGATCAAGCTTGCTGGCAGGCTCACAACTGGTGGGTGCGTTCAGCATTGTCTAGATTTGAAGGGACTGATGTCACATTCAGTAATATACATTAGGAACTCAGTGCCGCTTTCATAACATCTTATTATGTGCACAGCGAAACAATCTAAACTGAATTATACAATAGACATCAGCATTATAGAATAAATGAATAGTCTTTAAGGAAATTTCCATCTTAATTTCAGTATTATGTTTGGGAAGATTATGGTTACAAATTGTTTTTACTTTATTACTGTGTCTAGCAGCTATGATAACACATGTCATTCCTTGCTGGGCCACTGTGGTGGTCTGTCAACTTCATCCACTTCAGGATAGATGGAGACACAGAGTGCACAGTGGGAATACACACTTAGTTGGCCACCAGTCCATCACAGGGCACACATACATGAGCATTCAATCACATGTGCATATTAGTGGTGATATAAAGTTGCCAGTTGACCTGGAGAGTGTGTTTTTGGACTGTAACAGAAGCACCACAATGACCAGTGGGTAACATGAAGGCTCCACATAGAGGGTTCCTCAAACCAAAATCAAACTCATAATGACTTACAAAACAGCTTCAAACTAGTAAACAAATAAGAGTTGTTTTCATGTAGAGACACTTTTCACCTTTTGAATACTGTCTTATATGCTTGGCTGTACCAAGCTTGAAAGGTCATTTAAAAGATGTGAGTTATTCTGCAGTTTATGCCACCTTTTTAATCTCTTTCTTCACAAATAATAGTAACGACCTATAAGTTCAGTTTTAACTATAAAGATTTGAATTTTTTTTGTGGTTCTGTTTGTTTTGAAGCAGACTTTTTCAGACCTTTATTAAATTTTACAAAAAACATGGTTTCACTACAGATTAACTATGTTAGCATACTGGCGTTATTAGCACATACACGTACAGTATATTTTTATATTTATCTAAAAGCACATAAAATACATTTTAACCAGTAATAAGTAGACAGTGTGTTCCTTGCATTCCTGAGTTCATTTGTAACTAACATCAGTACTCTACAGAGAGGGAAAATCCAGATTTTTTAAATACTGTTGGCTGGAGTTTTACCCCATGGAATCACTCAGAAATCAAAACAGGGCTTGTAGTGTTATGCTTTCTCTAATTAAAGGGTGCCATAGTTGGGAAAACTGAAGTGAAGTTTGTCCCAGTCAAGGTGAAGATATTTCAAGAAGCTGCTAGGATAGCTAGCAGGATTGTAGAGAATATTCCAGTGTATATATTTTCAAACTGCTTGAAAAGTGTGCACTTTCTGAATCTCTTGCTACTTTCCTTAAACAATTTTAAGGAAATAATAATTTATTTATTCACAAGGGAAGAACCAGATGAAATCTGTGATACTTTGCTTTGGTTTATCTTCTACTCCCAGTTACAAGAGTTGGTAATTTACCATTTTATGGTGTGTCATTTTGTATAAAGCAAGAGGATCATATTTTATTGTGCTATTTTAGTCAATTATTTTTTTCCCATTGTGGCAAACTGCCCATTTTATCATACTGAATGAATTAGATGGGCAGCTTGCCAATAGTTCAAAATCTTTTCATTTTTTATGTCATAAACAATTACGTTATTAACGCTTCTTTTGCAGTGTCATTCACTTAATTATCGCAAAGAGGCTATTACGAATAAAACTATTTCTACCAATAAGTTTGATGATCACTGCTAAAGTACATGGTAAAGTACTAAATTGTAGTTTACTTAAAGTTTTGATTTTTAAAAAAATGTACTCTAGGTGCTACTTAGTGTCTCAAAGGATCCTTGGAGTTAAGTTTGAGCCCTGTAGTTCAGAGATCATTGATAGGGCTGGGTTGTGTCGTCTCTTGTCTGAGATTGGAATTCCCCAGTCCATGGTTCGTAATTGGTCTAGTGTTGCTGCAGCTCAGTGGACCGCAGTCAGACAGGGTGTCCTCAGTTTGCTGTGTAATGGTGACTCTTGGAACTTGTTTTTGGCCCATGAGCTTGCAGAGTTGGAAGTGAGAGATGCATATTCACTGTAGTTGGTGCTAATTCATTCATAAGGCACTGCCGAGCCCCTGATCTAATACACTGCAGGCATGTGTACTTCTGTCTAGAGCAGCACATTACTTATGCTCATTAATTACTCAATATAGGATGTAGGCCAACATTTTTAGAGCAGTATAACCTAAATTAATGGTTTAGTGACATATTCATTGCCATGCCATGGCGTGTTATTCAAGAGCGAGTTGCCAATATGTTTTTTTTTCTGTGCCATATCCTGTTGTGTTACAAAGTCTTGAGGGAGTTCTGCTGTAGGGCTAAGCACTAAAATTTGATGAAAGGTTAGATCTCATGTGCCAATAGCAGTGTAGAGTTGAAGCAGAGGGATATTATATACTGTTAACTGGCTAATCACAACTGGTTGAGATGGAGCTTATCTGATGTCATGAGAACACTGTATTGAGAGCACTACCATAGGCACCCCCAGAAATGATCAAATGAGAAAGTTCCTTGTTAAAAAAGGTAAACAGGCTGTATAAGGTCATGATTATGGCAGTGTAGGATTCAAACTTACAAATACTTTAGGCAATTGTATTCTGTAGCTTCACCTACAGAATACAATAATAATAATAATAAGCATTCATAATAAGCATTATTACTACATTATTACTACTAACCGTGCTCATTGGCCAATTGGACTGGTACCCTTTGCCTCCAGTCTTGAACTTGCAAATTACAGATTTCTGTGCATGATTATTTCTAGAAATTACAGAAATTTTATTTAACATTACAACTGATACATTTTAAAGTTTTTTTTTTGCCAGGATAGAATCTTTTTCTGTTTATTTTACATTACTGTTAAGTAGGGCTATATTATTTATAATGGGTTTATTACTGCAGGAAAATATATTTGTTCTTATTCCTGGATTAAAACCAGGGGTGTATTTAGAGGTGTGTAAATGCTAAAAGTTCAACAAAGAACCAAAGTACACATGTCAACCTTAATATACAGTACAGTGTGTATAATTAAGGTGGTTCAACATTTTGTGCTATATGTCAATGTTAAAAATAATTTTATCTCCTTTAGAACTATTGACTGAAAAAAGTATGCCCTTGTAGTAATCATTGCCTGGTTTGAAAGTGTTTTTTTAATGTCATTACAATACAGATTTTAGGGAAATTGTATATTTTTAGGGTGGTATGGTGGCACAGTGCTTAGAATTTCTGCCTTGAAGCACTGGGGCTCTGGGTTCTGTTCTTTACCTGGGATGCTGTCTGTGTGGAGCTTGTATGTTCCCCCCGTGTTTGTGTGAGCCTCCTTCTTCCTTCCAGAGTCCAACAACATACTGAAAGGTTAATTGGCTTTTAGTAATAATGGCCCTGGTGTGAGTGGGTGTGTCTTTCCATGATGTATAGGATCTTGCCCAGAGTGTATCATTGAAAAAAAGAGTAAAAAAAAAAAACAATGCTCCATAATCATAGTAATAATGAATGTGATCCTTTATCTTCCTGGACTATCCAAAAATTTAACTTTCACATGAATTCCAAGATAAAAATTACTTCAGATGAAAATTATTTCATCTTTATGATCTCATTCAACACGGTACGGTGCATGAATGGTTATATTATATATTATACTGTATATTACTTCATATTTAGATTTTCTGTCTAATATATTTTTCCTAAGGTTAAGGGTTTTGAAGGCTTCATATTTTGCAGATTAAGAGTTTTATAAATATGGGCCTTAATTACAGTTTAATGAATTGTTTCCCGGTCCATATTTGCTTTTTTCTACCTTACCTTACAATGTGTTTATTATAGGTCCTCTGTGCACCTGAAATATTTTTAAAAAGCATGCCAGTTTTCTCCTTGTTTTCTTTTGCTGTTTGAGTGTTTCACTGTTTCATGAAACAAAGAGGGGAAACTTAGACATGGGAAAGAATGTATGATTTTAGTGGCCTTCAAAAGCATGACCAGTCAACTACATTACTTCCCTTGTCTCGACAGTGTCTAATTTTTTTTTCAAACTTTTTCTGCAGTTGTTATAATGTGTGCTGGCAGTGATGTAATCCGGGAGATCATGCTTGCAGCCCATCGGAGGAAAATGACCAACGGCAATTACATTTTTTTCAACATTGATCTCTTCAACTCTTCATTTTATGGTATTTTCCTTTTTTGATTGACAATATGCAAATATTTTTAGGCAATATTATATATATTGTTTTCCAGTTGAAAAGCGCTGCCTCTTAAAAGTAAGAGTGCATATCTGGTCAATGTCACACACAGTAGTTTATGGTTCTACAGTTTATTCTTTCAGAGAATCTTTAAAGGAATGTGAGAAGTAGCATTAACATGCTGTATATTGTGAACTTCAATTTGATACAATACTCTAAGACTAAAATACATTTTATTTTGCTGTATGTTTTGGGTCATCATCATGCTTCGTGATGAAACATTTTCAAGTGAGTGGACAAAATGTTTTAGTAAACTTCAGAATTCAATCTGCTACTCACACCACTTGTTACAGTACATCGTCAATAGAAATGAGTGAGCCAGTTACCAGAGACAGCCATACAGCATGTACCTTTTATGAAGGGTATAGAAGGCACCAAGGCAGAACCAGTTATTAATTCTTCACGTGATTTGTTTAGATCATTTCGATATGTTATCAAACCTCGTCTTGATATTTACGGTATTCAGGGACATAAAGCATATGGGCCACATTGGTCAATTCATTCTTTCTTGATGTCTTTTAATATAATGTTGTATAGTCCTGTTACTTTTCAATTCTACTGTTACAATGCAGTGTAAAGTATTAGTTATTTCTGTGGTTATTGATCTTGAAAACAAAGTGTCCCCTAGGGTATACTGATTTTCAAGAAAATATATATCACCACTATATCAATCCTGTACAGGAAATGGATCCTGGCAGAGAGGAGACAAATATGATGCAGAAGCCAAGCAGGCATATGCTGCCCTCAAGACTGTGACATTATTGAGGAGTATCAAGCCAGAGTTTGAAAACTTCTCAGTAGAGGTGAAAAAGTCACTCCAGAAAGTTGGACTGGATGAAGAAGGTGAAAATGTGCGTAAGTTGTACAACAGGTTTCTTTGGCTGCTTTGATTTGGGGTCATTTTCACAACTCTTACCATTCTATTTTAGACTAGATCTCCGTTGCATAACATTTCTATTTGTTTATTTCACTGTTAGACCAGGAAATGCAAATGGGTGTTGTTTGTGAAAGAAAATGATTGAAACTAATGTTGTGCTAGTGCACTGTTTATACAGCATTGTGTAATATATTTTCACAAGACAAACATCTGCATTAGAGTCTTAAGTTAAGGCATGTTCAGGATTTCATTTGAAATGAGCAGCTATTTATGAAAATTAGCTGTATTTTCTTGTGGGAAGATGAAATGCAAATGATGGAGGGCTGCATTTTCCACGTTTGTGCTTGTTTCAGACAAGCCTTTTAGTGGATGATGTTTAATTTCCTAAGGGTAATTGATCGGTTGCAGACACAGCTTAATGTAGCCTGAAGTCAGAGACCAGCAGCCCTCTTGTTTGTGTTCCTGAATGGCACAACCAGGGGTTCCATACAGTTTTGAAGTTACCAGCCAGGGAGACTGTTAAAGCTTCGCCTTGGTTATTGTTCCTTTACGTCAGCCCTTATTGAAAAGCCATCTAGGTTTTGTGACAGGGAATAGCAGGAGCTGTCATGTTGAAACAAACGATGGCTGATGAATGGACTGCTGAAGGTTAATAGCCATAGTAAAGGCCTGGATGTTTGGCTGTCTGAAACTTGGGAGAAAATTCATTAAAACAAGAACAGAACTGGCCTCTAGAAGATTTGACACAAATGAAAAGCAGACTAGCTGTAGGATTCTAAATCATTTGTGAATATAAATGTTGAACTTTAAATGTATTTGCTACAATTTCTCTGTTTTAAAGGTTTCTGTACACACATAGAATACTTAATTTACAATAAATCAATACAATTCTGTTTAATATTTATAATTCATCATGATCATGACACATAATGAATAAATGAGAGGGATAATCATCATCATTATATTATACAAAGGGACAAGTAAACGTTCTGTTTCCTCTCTTCTCTTTTCAGCATGGAATAAACCTATTACTTGTTCCTTTGCAGACTATGCATGCTGACGCTGCTACCCACCTGAATCATTATATTATATATTGTATATTGAAATATTGTTTTATCTGCTATTTTCTCTTAAGATTAGAACAAGTCTTGAAACACACTTACTTTCATACAATTATTGTGAATGTCAAATTCATGTTACCTAATGAAAAGATGTTCTGATGTTATTATACTGTATAACAGACTTGAGTCAGGGTTTTATGGACACCAAAGTTGATATCTTATTTGTAATTAGTGGTGATGAAAAAGCAATGCAAGGTGATGGTGGTTCTAGTTTGCTCTACAAACCACATTTAGGATAACTGCAATATTTGGTCAATATTATCCCTCAGTGTCTTAATGGAACCAGAAAACAATAGCTCCAGAAATGAATTGGAAAACAATTAAGATCAGTTTTTTGAGAAGATGGAGTTCTGTATCTTCTCCCTAGGTACAGTACTTTAAATGGGCTGGTTGCTCACAAAGAGAGCCAGGCTTGAAGTATAAACACAGGAACTAAAAGTATAACATTAAAAGAAATGGAGATGAAAATGGGATTTACACAAAGGTACAAGGAAATAAATCTACAGTACCCTGCAAAAGTATTCAAACCCTTGCACAACTTTGGAAAAGTCGTGATTTCATAAATTTTCACATTTGTTTGCTATGGCAAAAATTAAATTAAATTAGGTGCACAAATGAACTTAACAAGGTACTACCCAGACACTGCCTTGATCAGGTTGTTCCTCTAAACTAAGCAGCTGAGCAAGGAGGAAATAGTAAGGGATGCCACTCTGGGGCTAACAGCAACTTTGAATGAGTTACAGTGTTTAATGGCTGATAGGTGAGAAAATCTACATACAGTACAGTAGGTCAACAATATCCTGGTCTCTCCACAAAACGAACCCATATGGAGATTGCAACACATCAACTACTGTAAGTTATGCTGCAAATATGTGGCAAAAGGGTTTAAGGTCATATAAGACAAAATTGAATGTTTTGGTCTAAATGCAAAAAGATACTGTATATCTGATACAAATGGAACATACAGTATTGCATCCCTCAGTCAACATCATCCCTACTGTTAAGAATGGTGGTGGTGGCTTGATGTTATGAGGCTGCTTCTCATCAATACTGATGGCAAAGTTCTGGCAAATCATAGAAGAAAACCTGGACAAAAAAATACCTTTCAGTAGGACAGTGATCCAAAGCACACTGCAGTGGTTTAATACTAAGCAAGTCAATGTCCTAGAGTGGCCTTGTTGAAGTCCTGACTTGAATCCTATTGGGAATCTGCTGTCCGTAAGTGATCCCCAAACAACCTGAGAAAGCTTGAGAAAATCTGCCAAGATGAATGGGCAAAAATTGAAACTGCCAATGAAATTACCCAAAAGACTGGCTGTAGCTGTTGTCAAAGGTGCTTGCACCAAATATTGATTTCACAGTTCTGAATACTTATGCAGTTAGCATATTTAAGTTTTTTATCTTTAGCTTTTGCAGATATTTACTGTGACTAATCTTACACTTAAAGGTCTTTGAGCATTCAGGTGTGAATATAATATAGTTTAAAATGTTGTGCAATTTCACAAAATGCGAGATCATAGGAAGGGTGTGAATAAGGCAAATCATATGATTGCATATTCTGTAAAACAGCAAACCCAAAGTTCTTTCAAATATTCAATTTCGTACATGGTGCTAACGTGATTTCACTTCAAAATGCTCCACATTGGACATTTCCAAGACCAAGATTTTGAGAAGTATCATAAGATTTAGTTAGGAATTAATCAAGTGCAAGGTATAATGTGTAACTAACAGTTCTTTCCGGACCCTATGTGGACGACACAATCCAAAGAAGTGGGGGAACACTAGGAAAATGTCATGCAGGGATACGGGGCTGAAAACAGGGGGGCGTGTCCAAAGTGCGCTGGTGCACGGGGAAGGTGTGTCCGAGGCAAACAATCCAGAAGTAATCCATAAAGGGAATCCAAAAACACAAGAATAAGTCCATAGCCAGGTGATCCATCCAAACAAGGAATTAAAACCATGAACCGGGTCGGAACCGGCGGACAGGGAACTGGAACAGAGATTAAAACCTTAACGGGACCAGGGCTTCCAGGTCCTGGACTCGCACGGTGCGGAAACCAGATGTAGAGCCAGGATGAGCGTCAGCGCCTGGCTTTTAAGGTGGGCTTGGAAAAGGGATCAGGTGCACAGAATTAAGTCTAAAGTGAAAGGGCTGGAGCACCCTTAAGGAGGGGGGACTATAATCATGACATAATGTACATTAATAAGGAACAGCTTGGTTGAAAAGGAAAACACATAATTGAATCAAAGCAAAGCATTAACATACAATTCTTGAGTTGGTTAGTGTCACATGCTACAAATAGGTCTAAAGTCACTAAGAAATATAAAGTCACTTGGTATCATCTTCATCATATTATTGCTGTTCTTTTGTTATATCACCCTATCTCACTTTCTCCTTTAACTGTTCTTTATAGCAACGCAATTGAGATTTTTTTTTTAAATGTATTTTATTTACTCAATATGCAGTTTATTAGAATTCAGTGTATAACATTTTTTAAATTCAGTCCTTCTTTTGCTCATACTGCAGATGCATTTCAGTATAGACCTACATTACTGAAAATTAAAATGGTTCCCAAAGCTGAATAATAATTATATGATAAATTATACAGGGCTAAGATTGTAATATACCTCAAATGACCTACAGAGCCCTGTGTGATGCTGAATGGAATGTACCATGCGAACAGAAAAGACTACCAATTGATAAATTAAACACAGGCAATAAAAATGCATAATCTATTTCTGTTGCGATCTATATGCTTATCTTATTAATTCAGAGCAAACAAGTGCATGTTTTTCAGCTATGGATACATTATGTATTAGAGCAAAAATATGTCTGATGTTTGTACCACAGATAAGTGGATAGGAAAGGATTGCGATTAAGTTTCAAAGTGCAATCCCTCGTAATAGGCACACCTTATAATAAATAATAACACCTTAATAATAAATTAATAGTTTAATCTCACATGATTTGCAAGCAATAAGTCACAGTGACTGAAATTACACATGTGTTTAGTGAAGACGTGGTCCAGGAAATGGTACTCTTCTTACCACTCAAACAAAATACACCTACACATTAGTTGGTGTAAAATATCTGCTGACTGCATTTATTTAATTATTATTTTCTGCATGTCTTTCCCCTGCAAAAAGCATTTTCAGTGTGAAAAAGAACATAGAAACGTATAAATTATTACCTATAAGGATTGTACTTGGGATTTTTCTGTAAGAAATACTAAACAGTTCTGCAGTGAATAACTTCTTCCCAAAATATTTATATGCAATGACAACCAGTAGGTGGGTGTGTTGGATTATTGCACTGTTAAATTCATTCAGGAATGCTGGAGATGTAGGAGCAGAGGAAGAATTATTTTTAATCTCCTTGAAATATTTCTTTAAAATTGTTCTCCTTTCCAGAATTTTTAAAGAACTCATTAAATCTGTCTGTGGATCTGCAGATACCAATCCTGTGAGATAATGGAAATAATTAGATTTATTAATGAAAGTAGCACCTCATCATCAGGGCAAAAGTGCACAGGGGAAAATAACACATCTTTTCATTCATCTGGTTAAAGGGATGCCTAAGTAGACCAGAAAAGATGAACAATTGGTTGCTTTTCCTTGAAGTGTTTTTGAGACTAATGAAAAGACTAATTTATAGTCTTGAACCATAAATACTGAAGCAAGAGACCAAAAGGTTACTTTTAATTGCAAGAAAGCAGCCAGTTATTAAGGCACCCTCTAATTTTCTTATTTTTCTTTAATTTGTTTGAATATATCTTAGAATATCTTTTTTTAGGTTGATGATATACTGTTGGTGAAGATGAATTTTGCAGGAGATAATGCAGTGCACAGTTGA